CAGGCTGTTCTCTCACTTTGTCCAACTGTTTTGAGAGGACAAAGTGAAGATGAATTTTATTTTGTGTCTCCTTCATAGAACTTTTCAAAGGAAGAAAAGGAGTGGGGGAGGGGAGGGTTGAAAAACCCCCAAATTTGTGAGCTCTCAGAGGGTAGAACTGAGGGTGGGGACAGGTCCCCAGCTCCTGCCCCCAGGCATACCCCCAGAAGGGCTCTGCCAGCTCAGTTCCGGCCACTTCCCTCATTCTGCTGTCACTAGGCTCATTTGGAAGGTGCCCATGTGGGACAGGGGCGACCAAGTGAGGAGATGATGGAGGTCCTCGGAGGAAAAGTCGCAGCAGTCTCTATGCAGCTTAGTTGGAACTCGGAAAAAGCAGACTAACTCCACTGGGCTCAGCACAGGAGACATGAAGCAGGATTTCGGGGTTCGTGTGTGACAAGGGGCTTTCAGGAAAAACAGTACTGCATGGAGGAAAAAGAGCTGATGGAAAAAAAATCCGTCATGGTTTCAGAGCTTCTTGAGAACATCCAGCAAAGAGTTTAGGGAGGGTGGCATCAGCCTCTGGAGAGGCCCCTGGGACGTTTATCTAGAGCCAGAGAGGGAAGCATCGGGCTCCTCCAGGCCGGTGGAGAGAACAGAGTCTCAGGACTGGGATGGCCGGATCACAAAATGGATCAGGCAGAGCTGGGATGCGCCCCTGGAGCTTCGGCACAAGAAGGGACAACAGTTTAGAAGTTACGGCCTTAATGCAAAGCGACAGATGGAAGGAAACTGAACTGAGGCAGCTCCAGTAGCAAAAACACAGCGGAGACACCTGGGAGTGGAAGTGGATGGATCCTCAGGTCAAAGAAAATGGAGAAGGAATACAGCGAAATCTGGGTTTCCAGTTTAGGAAGCTAGGAGAGCCTGAGGAAAATATAAGGAGTCAGAGATAGCTCAGCAGCCTGAGTGCCTGCCTGGCAAGCGCAGGGTCCTGAGTTTGATCCCTGGTTTAAAAAAAAAAAAAAAAAAAAAAAAAAAAGTATATGCGGCCAGGAAGATGGCTCAGTAGAATAAGCGCTTCCCTGGCAAGCGCAAGGGCCTGCGTTCAAACCCCAGTTCTGCCAAAAAAAAAAAAAAAAAGGAAATTATAAGGAGTCCACATTGGTTGTGGTGAGTGTTGAAAGACCAGCTTCCTGAGACACTGTTCTAAAGTACATTGCTCATTCCTTCAACAAATACTTCTAGCTGATGGCCATGTGCTGAGCCTGCCCTGCTCCAGGACCTGGGCTGCAGCAGTGAATAGAACAATAGCCCCTGTGCTCTTGCAGTTTATTTATAGTGCTGCAGAGAATGCCAGCGATATTAATAGCTAGTACGGATTGAGTGTCAAATCCTGTGCTTATATGATCTAAGTGATCTTTATCACTTTTCGAGGTAGGAACTATTGATGCCCCCATTTTACAGAAAAGGAAAAGAGTGAAGTGAGGTCAGTTTCTTGCCCAGCCTGGAAAGATTGGCCAGATGGGGAAACCTTGCGTCAAAGCCTTTCTTTCTTTTCTTTTTTTTTTTTGTTTTTATGAGACAAGGTTTCTATGTAGCGCAGGCTGGCCTCAAATTCACAGAGGCCCTCCTGCCTCTGCCTCCTGAGCACTGGTACCACAGAAGTGGTGTTGGCCTTTAATTTCTGTCTTGTGAAGAGGCTAAGAAAGTATTCTTTAGCTAGGCATGGTGGTGTCCACGTGGGATCCCAGCACTGAGGAAGCTGATGAACTGTGGCTTGAGCCACAGATTTCATGACCAGCCTAGACAACACAAGACCTGGTCTCAAAATAAACCAAACACAAAACTGAGATGAAAATGAGGCTAGGGGCCTGGGAGATGGCTCAGTAAAATAAGCACTTCCCTGGCAAGCGCAAGGGTCTGAGTTCAATCCCTGCTTCAGCCAAAAAAAAAAAAAAAAAAAAATGAGGCTGGAGTTTACAAGGAGATGGAAGTGGAAGCTAATAAAACTCTTGCCTCCTTGCAGAAGTTGCAGCCTCCTACCCCAGTTCTTTACTAGAAGGGATTACATATCAAAGCCATTTGGATACTGAAAACGGGCTCTCACATTGGCCTTTAGAAAAGCTGCTTTTGGGCTGGGGAGATGGCTCAGTGAAAATAAGTGCTTCCCTGGCAAGCGTAAGGGCCTGAGTTCAATCCCTGGTTCGGGGGGGGGGGGAAGAAAGAAAGAAAAGCAGCTTTTCCTGAGTGCTGCAGCACAGACAGGCCAGGCCACAGTGCAGCTTGTCTCTCTGGGGCGCCTGTGCCGCCAGACACACGCTAGGTGCAGAGCCCTTCCCGAAACACTCATGCTGTCTCTTCACTCTCACACACCCCTCCAGGACTCCAACTTAATCCCCCAGCACTCTGGGCCTCCATCACACCTCTGCCAACGAATGCAGTTTATCCTGGAAAAAATGGTTTTATAACTCCAAGGACATTAATAATTAACTTCCATACCACAAAACTTGTAATATCAGTTTGCTGAAATAAAGTCACTAGTATTTAATTCTTCTTTAAAGGGTGTCATCCATTATTATTATTTTAGAGTGCAATTTAGTCATCAAAGGTTTGCTCAGCCTCATGTTTATAAATTATACAGGACAGGGATTTTAACTCTTCTGGCCCTACCTGTTCTGAAGACAGGGAGGGTCACAGCCTTGTCGTCACACCAGGCACCTGCCTTGGAAGGAGATGGCAGCTCCAGGTTCCTTACCTTTGGGGTTAAGAGATTCCCCTTTATGATGCAATCAGAGGAATAACCAGGTAGTTGTTGGCACCATGAGGCACTGGTTTATATCCTTCACAAGACTGTCTGGAAACTTCTTTTTCCATTGCGATTCTGAATCTTGTCTTGATTATATGATGTAATAACGGTGGCTTTCCAATTCATCTGTGCAGTGTTGTTTTTTCATCGTGGCAGGGTTATTTTTCAGAGGGGGAAGGGCTAATGCCTTAGATCAATAAGAGCAAGTCCTGCCTTTCCGTTTACATCCTGAGCACGATGGCTGCCAATCACGGGTTCATCCAGGTTCACTGGGGTTAGGGGCCCTGGCCTTGATGGAAAAGGGGCTACCTTTCTTTCCTCAGAGCCCCAGGTGGGTTCTGTCCGCAGAAGAAAAGGGGTCAGGAAAAACAGCAGGTGTTTTCCCCTTCGGTTCTTCCGTTCGTAAGGGCAGTATGTTCAGAGTTAAGGTACCATAGTGTAGCTGGCTAGGTCCTTTCGGGGTGGGGCTGAGCCCCTAGAGGCCACACGAGGAAGCGCCTCGGTTTCCCTGCCAAGGCTCGCCCCTCCCCCAGCCACAAGTCCTCTCGGCGGAGGCCGAGCGGGAGGATGGCTGTCATCCTCCAGGGCGGCTGGCTCTCCGGGTCTTAGAGGGATTCCTGCCGCTGGCAGAATGGGCCGACTCGATTCATTCAGGCCGAAATACATTCCAAGAATGCTTCTGCGGTCGGTGCGGAGTGGAAAAATCAGGGATAACAAACATTTGGCGGAAACCTAATAGGTACCAGGATCGTAGGATTCACACAGGTGACAACGGCAGGTACGTGGCAGCGGCGCACGGCCGTCCGGCGCTCAGAGCCGGGACCCCGCGGTCCCGCCGCCCTCTGCCCCTGCCGGCCGCGCTGTCACCGCCGGCCGCGGGAGCGCGGGTGGAGCCCGAATCCAAAGTAAACACTTCGCAAACCTACGTTCAGCAAGTGATACTGAACCGTGCCACACTCACGTTTAAAAACAAAACCAAACGGGGGCGGGGGGGGGGATGCTGTTTGCAGAGATGAGAGCGAAAACATTTCCCGGCTGGAAAATTACTGATCGCTGACTGGGGGCGGGGGGAGGCAGCGCCGAGGGGGAAACTGCGGCCTCCCCTTCCCGGCGGCGGTGGGAGGGGGTGTCCGCCCGCGAGAGCTCGGGCGTACTTTCGGGAGCGAGGGTCCCCCGCGTCGCTGCCGTCTCGGCGCGTGACCACCTTCCAGCCAAGTCTGTGTGTGCTCGTCGGGCCCGGAACCTGAGCTGGCGGGGGCGAACTATTGTTTGACCCCAACCTCGCCATTTCACCTCTTTATGACTCAGTTTCCTCATCCATAAAGTGGAAAGGAGAGTGCGTAGCTCGTAAAGCGCTTTGAGATGCCGGTTGAAAGCCGTCTCCGCGCCACGCCGGCCCTCTTCCCACCCCCTCCACCCTCCCAGGGAGCCCGGAGCCTTGCCCTCAACAGCGAAAATTCGGGTCCCCTGCGGGCCTCCAGCGGCCCCGGCGCGCGTACCGGCCTACTCCTGCTCGCGGCCCGGTCCCCGCCCCCGCCCGCTGGAGGCTGAGCGAGGCCGGGCGGGTGCGTACGCAAAGGGGGCGGGCTAGATGAGTCACGCGGATAATCGCGCTCTTCTCCGGCGCGCAGATGGCGCGGAGAACGCGTACGCGCAAAAGAGTGGGGGCGCGTCCCCGCCCTCCCCGCCCCCACCAGCCTTGCTCCGCCTTGGGCTTCGAACCCGTGGGACCCACTATGGGGCCCAGAGCGCCTCAGCCGTGCGGCGAGCCAACCTGCGCCCGCTTCCCCGCGCCGCGCGGTCGCCGCCACAGCCGCCGGCGACAGCGAGGCTCCAGCCCGCCAGCTGCCGGGCTGGCGTCACGGCTCGCCCCGGTCCCGCCCGCGCCCCTCCTTCTCCCCCGCCCCCACGTGCGCTGAGTTTGTTTATTTAGCTGCCATGGCAACGCGCGGGGGGCGGGGAGAAGAAAGGGAGGGGCGGGGCCTGGCGCCGGACCCCGCGCGCTGCTGGTCGGTCGGAGGCGGGGGGGAGCTTGGTGCCAAGAAGTTATAAGTAAGAAGCGCGTCGCGGCCGCCGGCAGTTCCCCCGCTGGAGAGAGCGAGCGCGGCTGCGGGCGCGCGGGGAGCAGAGGCGGTGGCGGGCGGCGGCGGCCCCGGAGCCGCCAAGTGCCCCTCCCCGCCCCTCCGGCCCCCACCCACCCAGCCGCCCGCGGCCGGCGCAGTCCCCGGGACCCCGCGCCCCGCGCCTCCGCCCAGCTCGCGGCTCCGCGCCGCCGCGGCCCTTCTCACCTGGTGGCGCCGCCTGCTCACCGCCCACCTCCGGGCCACGGCCCCTGCGCCCACGAAGACGTCCACAGCCACCGCGACAGCAGCGGAGTCGAAGAGAGCGCAGCCTGGACACCGGACTACTTACTCGCCTTGCTGATTGTCTATTTTTATAAGAGTTTACAACTTTTCTAAGAACTTTTGTATACAAAGGAACTTTTTAAAGAAAGCGATATTTCCAGTTTATATTTAATCCAAAGAAGGACTTTAGGCATTTTTGGGTTTAAGGGTCTTGACTTCGTTTCTAAGGTTTTTTTTCTTTTTTTTTTTTTTTTTTCCTTCGTTAATTCTGGACTTCGGGTATCCCCGCTGCTTCGGGCTCCCGAGGATCTTCTGGGCCCCATATTAATGAGGTAAGTGAGGTGCGGAGCTGCGGGGCGTCCCGGGGCGGTGGCCCAGGCTGCCCCTGACTCCCGCCTCCCGTGCGCCCTGCCCGGCCCGCAGGCAGCCACCTGGCGAGTCTGACATGGCTGTCAGCGACGCGCTGCTCCCGTCCTTCTCCACGTTCGCGTCCGGCCCGGCGGGAAGGGAGAAGACACTGCGTCCAGCAGGTGCCCCGAATAACGTGAGTCGCGCAGGAGCCCTGGTTGGGTTTCTGCGGGTGGGATGGGAACGGGCGGAACCCACGGCTCAGCAGGCCAACGGGCGCGGGGAAGGGGCGGTCGTCACCCTGAGTCCGCGGCTTTTTGGAGGTGGCTCGGGGACCCTGCCGCGGCTGTAACGCGCGTGGCCCGGGTGCTGTGGAGCTGCTCGCATAGGGCGGGTCCTTCCGCGTCCCGGGCGCGCTGGCTACTAGGGTGGGCGCTCGCGGCGCACCGGCTGGTAGGTGGCTAAATCCTGAGGCACCGGACGGCCCGAGAGGCTACCAAGTAGGCGGCCAGAGGCGAAGGCGTAGCGGAGAGCTGGTGCCCCAGTTCCCGTGACGGCTGCGGCCGGTGTTGGTCCAGCCTGCAGCACTGGCACCAGCGTCCCCGGAGCGGTCTGCCGCCCGGTGCGTCGGCCGGGCCCAGTTAGGACGTCGGGTGGTGATCGGGACCGACGCTCACAGCCTGTCTGCCCCTCGCCCTGTCCCCACAGCGCTGGCGGGAGGAACTCTCTCACATGAAGCGACTTAACCCAGGGCTTCCCGGCCGCCCCTACGACCTGGCGGCGGCGACCGTGGCCACGGACCT